AGTGGGGGGGGGGGGGGGGAGGGAGGACATCGTATAATGACAAACCTGAAAATGCGTTCATATTCTTGTTCGCATTACAATTGTCATTTGCATAGATTTGCAAATTAACGAACGATTCTGTTCGTTTTAATCCAAATTAAAATTTGCCTCTCAATACGTCCAACGTATAAATTACCATTCTCGAGTGTGTTTTAACGATTACGAATCAACCAATCGATAATGTTTATTCTTCAAACATTTTGACGAATTGTACATTTCAATCCGCGCGTTATTACACTGAAAGAAAAAAAATGAAAAGTTTGAAAAAATGCTCAATTGAATTGTTTATCCGCGGACGATGATGGTTGATATCGAGATTCTTTTGCTTGCTTATTAAAATTATTAATTGTATTGCTGATTGTAATTATCACAATTATGTATAATTTATAATTATTTTTTATATCATTATATATATATTTTTTTATGGAGCAATATAAATAATTATTATTAATATTATGTCAATAATAATTATAAAAATGAAACTTCTAACCATAATTATTTTATCATAATATTAAAGAATTTTTTACATAAACTTAACAAGTTTAAAAAGTTAAATTTTCAAGAAACAAAAAAAATTTCTCATCTTCAAACCGTTCTTTATATAAATATGGTAATTTTTCTTCGAACATATAATAGGTATAAGAACAAAGTTTTAATTAATATTTTGAGAATCCATTTAAAAAAAATAAAATGAAAAACTTCTGGATTTATTTTGTACTAACGAAAATTTATTCGTTCTGTAATAATTAAATTTTATATTAACCGTTTTTATAACATTAAAAATGATGAGCGTAAAAAAGGAAATATTATTTAATATTTATTTAAAACATTTATAATATTTTATTTAAAAACAAATTTTTTTATTTTCAAAATTTTAGAAATTGCAAAAACATCCTTTACAGCTGTTTTTGAATTCTCATTTCTCGTTTTATATTTAATTCTTATCGAAACAAAATTATTTATGGTGTGACATTATTTAATAGAGAATTCGAGGTGATAACCTATATTTTTTTTTAATGAACTTATTTAGTTTTTGTGGTATCTATCAGTTACAGTCTGCACAAATACAAATCATTTTTCTCTCAGTGTATCTTTATTTACACGTATGATTAATTTTCTCGTTATCTCGTCCCTTTACTTTTTGGGATCTTATAAAACTGCACTCAGCTGATCAGAATTATCTGCATTCTGCGAAAGATTTGACGATCATGTCAACCTACGTGCGATCGTATTATGTTATTAAATTGATCGCATAATTTGCGCCAGAGCGATCAAAAGGTGATTCAACCAAGTTACGATGGTAATATTATATTAACGTAATATATGATTTATCACGGACGTATATCTCGACCGCGGAGAGAGCCAATATCGATTCGCGCCGGTTTTCGAACATTTGTCAAGCGGTCGTCGCTTATCGGTCGCGCGGTCGTCGCACCTTCTTTCGTTTCTTCGCGACCCTGGGTCCCAACGCGTTATCAGAAATCGTTAGTCGCGCGATGAAGAACCTATCCAGCGGATGAGAAATTAAGCATCCGACCAGAAGCGAATCAGACGGCGCGATAAAACGGGGCGGTTCTTTTACGAAGACAACGAGCGAGATATATCGTGAGATGGCTTAAGTCGAGAGGTTTGAAAAGTGAGTGCCAATCGCGGCTCTCGCCGATAACCGGAATCTTTTCCGAAACGACGAGAGAACGGTAAGGAAAAACGCTCGACCGGATGCATACGGCGTGCAGAATGGAGAAGTCGCGAGGGAAGTATCAGAGTCGACGTGTTTTATCGTCGACATATGCGACAGTGTCTGCGAAGCAGTGTGATAATGACACTCGCCGTAATGCACAAGTCAGAAAAAACGAGGTTTTAAGAATGTTTTGACTGTATATTAGTTAAAGAATATCAGTCAAAAAATTAGCTAAAAAAGTCACAATATCAGTTAATATTAGTAAAAAAAAATTTTGTTAAACATATCCAAAAACTAACTGTAAAAAATAACACAATAAGTAATTTGATTTACAGTTATAGCTTTATTAGCTGTAGCTAATTGATCATGTTATGCTTGCTACAGTTGTAACTTTGAACCAAGTAAGTGGATTCACATAGGTATGTAAAAAAATATTTGATTGAATTCGAAATGCTATGACCTTCTTAAGCAAATAAGTATTACAAAGCGTGACTTTACGTAAGAATCAAGACAAACAAAAAAATTAAATAAGTTGTAAACTAATAACGTAAGAAAAGTGTGCTCAAATTTTTACATAAATATTAAGACTTTAATAATAAAATATTCTGTAAAATTTTTATATTTTTGTGCCAATGTTTTGAAATGTGTACTTAAAGTATTTTTACAGCCGCAGAAATATGAGAATTGTTGTAAAAAATTATTTTTGGAATTGCTTAACATTTTTTTCTCTTTTTTAAAAACTATTTTTTATAAATTTTTAAATGTACATTGAAAAAAAATTCCTACATTTTAATAAATATTTTTAAAAATAACTAAACACTATATTTTTTATTGAATTTTTTTTTTATATTCAATAAAAAATATATCAAATTAATAGTTTTTAAACCAAATAGATATATATTTATCTATATGTTTACATTTAGTAAATATTTAATTAATATGTATAAAATCTGAATAAAATAAAAAATATTATTAAAATAATATTTATTAAAATAAAAAGTGTTATATTAATTAAAATTGTTATTTTTTAGAAGTGCTGTCACAATAAACTATTAAACGTGCTCATATCGTTTAATTTTTGTTTAGTTTCTATTGATCTTTTTCAGAAAATTATGATTATATCCATATTGTTCTCCAATAATGATAAATTGAAAAATAATCAATAATATATAATATGTTGTTAATAATAATGATTTTAATTGATGTGTAAAATGTGTAAAAAATAAACCTCAAGTGATCGTTTAAATGTTATTCTTGCAATTGAATACGATTTGATCGCGTAACGAAGCGTCGATCGGAAGTGCATCAGCGCGTTTCCACATATGAACGGACAAGAGGTGTTCATCGAAGCAATCGGAGAAATCTCGATATCAATCATCAGCCGCGAATAGACAGTTTACCAGAGCACATTTTCTCTCAGACTTTTTATTGATTCGGTATCAAAGGCAAGCTCATCCTGCTTGAGTGATAAGGAGCGTCAACGCCGTGAAAGTTAGCCGTGTCTGCAAATCCGTATTTCCGGGGAAAACGGCGAGCCCGGTGAATCACCGATAACTGCGAGCGCGTCGATCTGCGTTTTCCAACCCTTTGGCCCTCAACCCCTCTTTTGCTAACTGTAAAAAGAAGCCCTTTCTACCTATCGATCAGTAATTGTAGGTTTTCGCCTTGGCGCGCCCGCAGATTGAACTTCCCAGCTTTGTGCTTTACTGCGACCGCCGAATCGGCGGATTACTGCTAAGCCGCTTAAATAAGCGTTCGATTGTGTCGACGATTTAATGCGCATTAGCATTTTAAACTGGCCTTTCAATCCATGCCGAAAGTTGCTACAATGGCCACGAAGCATTCGCGAGTGCTACTAGTTTTAATTGCTTAACTTTATCCTGACGGAAGCGGGGGAGAATGTTTTTTTCGTTAACGCGATTGTTATTCGCTTTTAAATAATTTGAAAAGAGCGTGACGTAAAATAACGGTCTTTATTATTGTGATTATTTAAAGTTTTCGTTATCCATTAGCGTTAATTACTTCGCATTGAACAATATTAAAGTAGCAGCTTAAAATTTATCTGCAAATATTGCGCGTTCAATCGAATATTTACACTGCAGGAATGTAATAATATAATACGCGGCGAGATATTGTCCCACGTACTTCTATCCTATTTTATTTAACAGTAAATCCCGTAAACTGTACATACATAGTCTATACTATTTTTTATATTGATACATTTCTTCGTTTTGCGATATTTAATTTTTATATGTAGAAAATTTATAAACGCGTCGCATACGTTTCTCTATTAGTACAGTTTTATTCAAGATAAATTTATATTGAATTGAAAAGGTTATTAATGCATTGTGTATTTTGGTAGACATACCAACGCCTACCACAGAACCGACGACGACGAGTACGCTACCCGTTCCTACTACCGTGGATCCAGGTAAATATTAAGTAATTCAAAATAAAATAAATTAGTAAGGCTCGTTAGTTGCAAATATATAAAAAACTGTATAAAAAGGACAACGGTCATAAGATAAGCAAAACATTAAAGCTGGTAAAAGTAAGTAATAGCAAATAATTTATTCTCTAGTAACTTAAAAAGACAAATGTACTTTTAACTGTATGTAGTCTCCATCAGTAAGATACATAATAATAAAAAAAATAATAGAGATATTAATATTGCAAAGTTTAATTGAAGAAGTAATTTAATGTCAAATAATATTCAATATTGACAGATTTCTTACCGTGGAATTGATAATGTCACTCTGTATTTTCTAGCCATTTTTTTTGAGGTTCTGGTTGTAAAAAGAAACGATTGTGTTTCTTTGTAATCTCTATAATCATTTAATTGATTTGAGATATATCGCGAGTATCTTTACTACAACCTTTAATTTCTTTATATATAAAAATTATCAATTGATATAAAAATTTTAACAAGCTGGATAATTAAGATTGTCTCTTTATTTGATTATACTGATATTATTTATATTTGAATAAACAATTACTAAATTAAATTCAGTAGATTCAAAATTCATGTCAATTTGTTTTGCATTGTACAATACGTTTGATCACATAACTTTATTACATCAAACATCTAGTTGGTTAAACATTCAACAAAAATTTATGTTGTCTTGTTTATAATGTACTAATC